GTCCTTTCTATCTTATTTAAGTTTTGAGGCAGGGTCTTGCTATTGAGGGCCTCACTAAATTGCTGAGGCTGGCCTTGAACTTTTGATCCTCCTGTTTCAACCTCCCAAATTTTTAGGATTATAGGCATATACTATACCATGCCCAGCAAAATTAAACCTTCTTGATAAATATAAAATGAAAAGTAAAGGCTTTCCAGATGTGGTAACACATGCTTGAATTCCAGAGGCTTGGAGGCTGAGGCAGAAGGACTGCCAATTCAAAGCCAGTCTCATCAACTTAGCAAGACCCTAAGAAACTTAGAGAGACCCTGTCTCAAAATAAAACATATTAAAAAAGGGTTGAGGATGTGGCTCAGTGGTTAAGTGCCCCTGGGTGCCATCCCTGGTACTAAAAAATAAAGACAAAAAATACAAAACAACCACAACAAAAAGCTGGGTGCCATGGTGCACACCTGTAATCCAAGGGGCTCAGGAGGCTGAAGCAGGAGGATCAAGTTCAAAGCCAGCTTCAGCAATTTAGTGAGGCCCTAAGAAACTCTAAATAAAATATTTTTAAAAAGAACTGGGGATGTGGCTCAGTGGTTAAGCACCCTCGGGTTTAATCCCTGGTACCAAAAACAAAAAACAAGGCTTTCCTCTTACTTCCCCCAAATATGTCCCTAAAACTCTTCTGGACTCCTCCAATCTTTAAAGACCTCCTTATCTGAATCCCTAAATACACAGCAACCATTATAGAGTTTATTATACTCTATATGTTTTTTTTCCAACAATACCAAAAGCTCCTAAGGGTCAGATTTATTTCTTACTTCTGTGTAGCTCATGTATGAAAAATATGCACACTATAGAAACAGCACATTTGTTTAACTTTCTAATACTTCTGAAACAAGAAATATCACTTAGACTAAAAATCTTATTTCCATTTCATACTTACAGGGAACATTTGGTTGTCATTCCAGCGTTCACTGACCTGTAACCTATCACCCAGCTCATCAATGGTTATGAGCACCCACTCAATTGTGCTGGAAGGAAAATAAGATCTCTATAATGCTAAGTGAAGTTAGCCAATCCCAAAAAGACAAATGCCAAATGTTTTCTCTGACATAAGGAGGCTGATTCATAGTGGGGTAGGGAGGGGGAGCATGGGAGGAACAGATGAACTCTAGATAGGGCAGAGGGGTGGGAGGGGAAGAGAGGGGGTAGGGGGTTAGCAATGATGGTGGAATGTCATTGACATCAATATCCAAAGTACATGTATGAAGACATGAATTAATTGAACATACTTTATATACAGAGATGAAAAATTGTGCTCTATATGTGTAATAAGAATTGTAATGCATTCTACTGTCATGTATTTAAAAAATTAAATCAATTAAAAAAAAAAAGAAAGAAAGAAAAGAAGATCTCTAAAACAATCATGGTTTCCATAAACCTGTAGTCAGGGTTGGGCGTGTATAATCCAATTTAGACCAATGAAGTGTAATCAACTTGAAGTGGATCTAAAGGACCCTAGACACTGCAGGCAACCTTAAACAAAAATAAGCAGCTTATTCAAGTCTGGAGCCAACACTCAAAAGGGCAAGACTGACATTAGACCAGAGACCCTGTGCCTTCTAGAAAAAATTGTAGGCCCAAATCTCCATCATGTCAGCTTAGGAAAGGAATTTCTCAACAAGACTCCTAAAGCACAAGAAATAAAATTAAGAATCAATATATGGGATGGTATCAAACAAAAAAGCTTCTTCACAGCAAAGGAAACAATCAGTAACGGAAAAAAGAGCCTATAGAATGAGAGAAAATCTTTACCACTTCCATCTCAGATAGAGCATTAATATCCAGGATACATAAAGAACTCAAATAACTTTACAACAACAAAACAAATACCACAATCAACAAATGGACAAATAACTGAAAAGGCACTTTACAGAAGAAACACAAGTGGTCAACAAATAATATGAAAAAATGTTCAACATCTCTAACAATTAACGAAATGCAAATTAAAACTACACTGGGATTACATCTAGTTCCAGTCAGAATGGCAGTCATCAAGAATACAGGCAACAATAAATGTTGGGGAGGATGTAGGGGGAAAGGTACAATCATACATTGGTGGTGGGGCTGCAAATTGGTGCAATCACTTTGGAAAGCAGTATGGAGATTCTTTAGAAAACCTGGAATGGAACCGCCATTCGACCCAATTATCCCACTCTTCAGTATATACCCAAAGGACTTAAAATCAGCATACTACAGTGATATAGCCACTTCAATGTTTTATAGCAACTCAATTCACAATAGCTAAGCTATGGAACCAACCCAGGCGCCCATCAACAGATGAACAGATAAAGAAAATGTGGTATATAGACACAATGGAATATTACTCAGCCATAAAAAATAAAATTATGGGGCTGGGGTTGTAGCTCAGTGGTAGAGCACTTGCCTTGCATGCATGAGGCACTGGGTTCGATCCTTAGCACCACATAAAAAGAAATAAATAAAATAAAGATATGTGTCCATCTACAACTAAAAAAATATTTTAAAAAAAGAATAAAATTATGGAACTTGCTGGTAAATGGATGAAACTAGAGACTATCAAATTAAGTGAAATAAGCCAATCCCCCAAAACCAAACGCTGAATGTTCTCCCTAATATGTGGATGCTAACACAATAAAGGAGAGGAGAGAAGAACAGAAATTCATTGGATTAGACAAAGGGGAATGGAGAGAAGGAGGGAGTGGGAATAAGAAAGGCAGTAGAATGAATCCGACATAACTTTCCTATGTTCATATATGAATACACAACCAGTGAAATTCCACATCATCTTCCATTACAAGAATGGCATCCTAATTATAATAAGTTATACTTCATATATGTCAAAATACACTCTACTGCCATGTATATCTATCTTTTTTTTTTCCCTCCCTTTGGTGCTAGGGATCAAACCCAGGGCCCTGTGCATGCAAGGCAAGCACTCTACCAACTGAGCTATATCCCCAGTCACTGTTATGTATACCAAAAAAGAACAACAATAAAAAAGAACAAGTCTGAGGGGGAAAGGGATGGGATCCTAGTACTAGAATTTAGCACTTCTACTGAAGTATTTCATCTTACCATTCGTTTTTTTAAATATTTATTTTTAGGTTGACACAATATCTTTATATTTATGTGGTGCTGAGGATCAAACCCAGTGCCTCATTCATACTAGGCGAGCACTCTACCACTGAGCCACAACCCCAGCCCTTACCATTCTTGATCTCATAACTGTCTGACTTTAGAACTGGGAATGTAGCTCCGGGACACAATGTTCCAATGCACCAAACCCTGGGTTCAATCCCCAGTACCACCCAAACAAACAAAACACCAAAGAACCATCTGAATGCAAAGCCTTCTTCCAAGCCATGCATGAGCACCTACAGTTCTAGTTTTTGGGAGGCTGAGCTGGGGTCATCCCTTGAGTCCAAGAATCTGAGAACAGCCTGGACAACATAGTAAGAGATTGCCTCAAAAAACAAAGGAACAGCTGGGTGCAGTGGTGCTCTCCTATAATCCCAGCAGCATGGGAGGCTGAAGACTGGAGAGTTCAAAGGCAGCCTCAGCAAAAGAGGAGCTAAGCAACTCAGTGAGACCCTGTCTCTAAATACAAAACAAAAAATACTGCTATGGATGTGGTTCAGTGGTCCAGTGAGTGCCCTTGGTTTCAATCCTTGGTACCCAAAACCAAACCAAACCAAAACAACAACAAAAAAACAAAGCCTTCTTTCTCCAAGCTTACTACTCTTTGTCTCCCCATGTCTTTATCCTTGCGCCCAAGGAAATCTTCTCACCAGACCTAAGATGGAGTTTAGAGAGAAGAAAAAGAGTGGGGTTCTTTCAAAAAAAAAAAAAAAAAAGAGAGAGAAATATATACATAATTACATATATATTTACACACACATATGCTAGCTAGTGTCTACATTACAAACATGCAAACAGTGATGACATAAAATACTGCAAGAACAAAAATGTGGCAAATGTTTTGAGTGTTCAGGATGGTAGAAAAAGAGGAAGCTGAGATGATCCCCATATTATCTGTCCTTTGCAAATCTGTTGTGCCACTCTGTCTAGATCGTTAGGCACACTGCCATCTTTCAGTTCTTAAAATCTTTTTTCAGGCCTCAAAGCAATTATGTCACTCTCAGGCTCTGCTTTCTCCAAATCCCTTTGTTATTGGTTCCTTTCTCGACCTTTCAATATCTCTTCAAATGCTACCTCCTCAAAGATGCCTTTCAACCACCCAACCTACCGTGGGCCTTTCCCTTTTTCCATCACATCTTATTTCCTGCAAAGATCTTATCACCAGTTGTATAAACTGAAATTGTATTTGTTTATAAACAGATTCCACCACTAGAATGTAAGCTACCTGAAGGCTGCACATCTCTTTTTCTTTATATTCAAACTCTGGCATACAAGGGTAGACAATACATAAATTTTTATTTAAGGGGAGAATGAATGACAGAAAGCGGGAAGATAGCTTGGTTAAAGAGTTGGCGTTGTAGGATGGCTGTTTCTAGGAAAGGTAACTGAAAAGAGGCAGGAAAAGCCAGCTGGGCTGGAGGTTGCATAAGAAGCTGAAGTTTACGTCGGCCGGAGCGAAGAGGTAGGACCAGGGCTTTCAGGCTTCTCCTGGCCACGCGTGGAGTAAGTAGAGGGGTCTAAGCCACCAAATAATCAATTCTGGGCGTTTTCTAAGGTAAAACCAAAGGCGCCAGCTTACTGCAGCTTTGATCGCGTCCCCGGACCTTAAAAAGCGACCGTCTTCTGTGAAAAAACTCGCCAGTGGTCACTAAACTTATCCGTCGGCCGAGTCCCTCAGGGGCAAGGAACATTTTTGAGACACAGCCATCTTCCGCCAGTCCCTACAGGGGACCCAACGCCGGCCCTACATCCCGGCGTCCTCTCACTGGCCAGGCGACGCGCGTCTCCCCGCCCACACCCCGCGTGGAGTCCCGAATCGGCTGTTCACTTACGCTTGTCTCCGTGCTATCAGCCGGTGCATGGGAGTCGCCATCTTAGGGCGGCCGACCTGCCGCGCGGGGCTTTGGGAAACTCCTCGGAGGGGGCGGGGACTTTGAACTCCGGCGGCCGCAGGCGTGGGCGGGGCCAGGTGGGCTGGGAGCTTCCGGGGCAGCATCTTGTCAGAGGTAGTGTCGCGGGTGGGCTGGAGAGCGGTATCTGCTGCGTGGTCGCGTCTGTCAGGCTCCAATAGAGTTTTAAAGGTGACTTCAAGGAAGAACATTCTCTGTGGATAAAGGAAAGAATAGTCTCGATTGAGGGAAATAAAAAGAAGAATGACGCTGAACTGTTAAGTGATGGGGATACCAGAAGTAGTCTGGAGAACAAAATAAGAATGTTGAAGATATAAACCATCAACCGAAAGAATGGCTTTAGCAAACTATAAAGTACAAGCATATGTTAATCTATTTTTTACCTATTTCAGCTCTTTTTTAAGGGTCGAATAAAACTGTATAGATACATCTGCTTTGTTAACTATACAAATATTATATTGGGATATTTTAGCTGTCCTATGTTACCTAAAAGCTCAGTCCTTGTCCCCATGCCAAGTCAAGGATGAGAATACGTTTTTGAGAAAAAGAAGGTTCAGTGCTTTGCTAGCCAAGGAGAAGCACAGAGGGCTCCTGTCCTAGAGGTTTTTTTGTTTTGTTTTGTTTTGTTTTGTTTTAACCAGGGATTGAACCCATGGCTTAACCACTGAACCACATCACAGTACTTTTCACACACACACACACACACACACACACACACACAATTAGAGACAGGATCTCGCTGAGTTGCTTAAGATCTAGCTAAGTTGCTGAGGCTGACTTTGAACTTGTGATTCTCCTGTCTCAGCTTCTGGAGCTGCTGGCCACCATGCCCAATTATATATATGGCCATTTTCACATGCAGAAAATGAGTCCCCATGGCGCCTGAGTCCGCAAAGAACAATAAACTGCTTCCTTGAAGTCCGCACCCGTCATTTTGCACTTACACTTTTTTTTTTTTTTTATACTGGGGATTGAACTCAGGGGTACTCCATCACTGAGCCACACCCCTAGAACCATTTTGTTATTTAGAGACAGGATCTCACTGAGTTGCTTAGCTCCTTACTTTTGCTGAGGCTGGCTTTGAGCTCTCCATCCACCTGTTTCAGCCTCCCAAGTCCCTGGGATTACAGGTATAGGGTATTGATTTAACACTTGAGCAGCCATCTTAATGTTAACTGCCACCTTATGAGATAAGTTTCACTTTCCTGTACTTCCTCTTACCCATTAGTGACATACCCCATGGTACCATTGTTATACCAATACTGAGACCCTCAAATAACTCTCCATTAAGCCTTTATTGCTGGCCAGCAGTGGACACTCTGCTCTCCAAAGAACAATATAGAGTGGCACGCCTGCCTTCGGGCCTCATAGTTAAGTCAAATCACAAAAGGGACGTTTGAAGATTTAGCCAATGTAAGCAAGCAAGTACAGAAGCTGAATTGGTCAGTTAACAAGACTGCAATGGGTACATTGGTTGGCATAGCAGCAAGCAAGCAGAAAGGAAGTGGCTCGAAATGACCCTAGTTGAGTACAAGTTAGAGAATGGTTACTAATGTCTAGACAATCTCTGTCAGGGTACGTTGCCCAAGAAATATGGAAAGCAAAGAGAACAATTTTATATTAAGGAATTGCTATTTTAGCCCTGCCTATAACGCCATAATCCTAAACCAATCCCAGAAGGATATGACCCCTTGACTCTGGAAAGCCCCATGGTGCAATCAACCTAAGCCAGTCCCATTCTATTCCCCACTGGCCTAGCTCTGACGAAAGCACCCCCCAGCCTATCCCATAACACCGCAACTACGACTCCAAACCCATACCCACAAAAGCTGAACACCCAAACATCTTGGGGTGTGCCTTTATTTGTCAAGCTCTAACAAATAAACTCTTGACTGGGGCTATAGCTCAGTGGCAGTGCGCTTGCCTAGCATGCGTGAGGCACTTGGTTCGATCCTCAGCACCGCATAAAAATAAACAAATAAAATAAAGGCATTCTGTCAATCTACAAATAAATTCTTGTGTGTATCTCTGCCTAGTCTCCGTCTTTAATTTCTTGCTTGCCTGTCTCCCAATTCTTCACTTTCCTTTCAATAGGCATGTTCTACCACACCCTGTGCACTTACACTCTTTAAGTTCCAAAGTTATTAAAATACTTTCTTGCAATTTTTAGTCACAATTGTGATAATTTTGTTTCTATGGTTACACTCCTTAATCCTAATTTTATTTTTTTTGAAATACACTTATTAAATAATCTACCACTTCTCTGTTGTTTTGAAATGACACTCTCAGATTTTAAAAATATACAAATTTTGATTTTCATTTCTCTAATTGCTAAAGATGTTGAACATCTTTTCATATATTATTGATTGATTGTATTTCTTCTGTGAAGTGTCTGTTCAGTTCCTTAGCCCATTTATTGATTGAGCTTTTTTTTTTTTTTTTTTTGGTGTCAAGTTCTTTGAGTTCTTTATGTGTCCTAAGAGATTAATGCTTTATCTGAGGTACATGTGGTAAAGATTTTCTCCCAATCTCTAGGCTTTCTCTTCGCATTATTGATTCTTTTGCTGAGAAGCAGCTTTTTAGTTTGAATCCATCCTGTTTATTGATTGTTGATTTTACTTCTTGTGCTTTAGGAGTCTTGTTAAGGAAGTCATAACCTAGGCCAACATGGTGAAGATTTGGGCCTACTTTGTTTTAAGTCAGCACAGGGCTGTATTCTAGGGCCTGAGTCTTTTTGATCCACTTTAAGTTGAATTTAGTGCGGGATGAGCGAGAGGGATTCAATTTCATTTTGTTACATATGGCTTTCCATTTTTCCCAGCACCATTTGTTGAATAGATTATATTTTCCCCAGTGAATGCTTTTGGCACCTTTGTCTAGTCTGAGATAACTGTATTTTGATCTCACTCCAGTCAGAATGGCAATCATCAAGAATACAGGCAACAATAAATGTTGGCGAAGATGTGGGGGAAAAGGTGCACTCAATACATTGCTGGTAGGACTGCAAATTGCTGCAACCACTCTGGAAAGCAGTATGAGATTCCTCAGAAAACTTGGAATGGAACCACCATTTGACCTAGCTATCCCACTCCCCAGTTTATACCCAAAGGACTTAAAATCAGCATACTACAGTGATGCAGCCACTTCAATGTTTATAACAGCTCAATTCACATTAGCTAAACTACGGAACCAACCTAAGTGCCTTTCAACATATGAATGGATAAAGAAAATGTGTATATATATTTGATGCAATATTGCTCAGCTTTAAAGAAGAATGAAATTATGGATTTTGTCAATAAATGGATAGAACTGGAGACTATCATGCTAAGTGAAATAAGCCAATCTCAAAAAACCAAAGGCCCAATGTTATGCAGATGCTAATTCTAATCTGTTTTGCAGATTCTCTGATATGCAGATGCTAACTCATGATAAGGGGGGACTGCTAGGGAAGAATAGAGTTACTTTAAATTGGATAGAGGGAAGTGAAGGGAAGGGAAGGGATAGGAAGGATAGTAGAATGAAACAGACATTGTTACCTTATACGCATATATGACTGCATGATAGACATGATTCTACAACAGGTACAATCAGAAAAGTGAGAAGTTATATTCCATTTATGTAAGCTATACCTCAGTGCATAAATGCATTCTACTATCATTTATAACTAATTAAAGCAAAAAAAAATTAAGAAAAAAATGTACAAATTTCATCTGCTTGGACACTGTTTCTTCCAAATACCAATTTGTACCAGAGTTTGTCTCACTGTTTTGTCATTTAAGAAAAAAATTTTTTTTTAGTTATATATTGACACAATATCTTTATTTTATGTAATTATTTTTATGTGGTGCTGAGGATCAAACCCATCTAGACAAGAGTTGTACTTACTACTGAGCCACAAGCCCAGCCCCTTAATTAGAACATTTTTATATCTAATAATATAGTATCCTCTTTCTTCTCATTTGATTAATTGCTCTTAGGCATTTGTTTTCCTAGATGAGATTTATCAAATTTTTTTTTGCAAACTAATGTTGAAATTTATTTGTTAGTCAATTTTAAAAGGAATTGCATTATATAGTAAGTGTGAAAAGACAAGAGACAGAATGAGATAATAACAGAAAGGAAGAAGCAAATGACATTAGTTGTGTTGATTGAGTTGCATACCTGGAAAGCCTAGAGTTAACCAAAAACTCCTTGAAAGTTCAACATAGGGGCCAGAGACATGGACACACAGATATGATAATTACTTGTTTCTCAGTGGTAGGACTAAGCCAATGTAGCTCTTTCCACTGGGGCCCATGAATTTCAGGGACTCTCATACACTATTTTGTAAACCTCAATGAATAGGAGCTGAAAAGATTTAAAGCTCAGGTGAAAGCTGCAAGTAATTTCTATTTGGCAAGAGTGAACACTACAAGTCTTGAGGCAGACTATTCCTTTATCCTAGGATAGATTACTACTAGAATAGGTTACTACGTGTCTACTAGTTATGTAAGATGTCTCAAAGAACTGAGGGATAATGGAAAGGCCTGTGGTGTAGGGAGCTGCAGTTCTCTGGACTGGGTTACTGAAGGTCAGGAGAGCTTGATGGTTGTTTCCTGGCAGTTGTGTATATAACAGTCTGAAGACTGAGCAGCACAAGACCTTCTTCTTGAGAGGTAAATGATACAGTCACATTAAGCCCCATGCTAAGAAAAGTCCCAGTTGATTTAAATGCTTGCTCTACTTTAACTCTCTTGACATTCTTAGCTTTTGAAAAAGGAGCCTTATATTTTAATTTTGCACTGGGTCCTTCAAATTATGTGGCCTGTCCCACACCAGAAGTTGATCAAAGTGTTTCCACAAGACATGTGAGACTCTGAGCACAATGTAAACCAGTTTCACCAGCATTAAAGATGAGAGAGGGCTAATCTTCCTACTTTTTCTGGAATTCAGGAGCAATCTTTCCTTGAAATTGATGGCTATCATAAAAAAATGTATTTTTACCCTTTCATTATATTTTATAACTGGTTATTGTAACTATTTAGGAAACCTCAGTATTGTAACTGGTAAAATTTGACCCTGGTACAAAATTAAATGTAAGTTCTCCCTTCATATGGCTTGGCATCAAACATCAAGAGCTCTTCTTCTAGTAGTATAAGTGAACCTGACTAATTTAACTAAATTAGGGAGAGGTTCAGAGCAGAGT